TAACTTCTACCGCTTAGACTTTGTTGCTTTTTCAATTTTTCCTAATAAACAATCGTGGTATAAAGCTCAATAAAAATATTAAAAATAAAATGTTAACAAGCCACAATAACATTGACAAATAATTTGTTTATTTCAGAAATTCAAATCCACATTTCAATACACGTGGTAACGGTAACGTTTTTATATGCATTCTTGCAGCGAGTGATGATGAGTCACAAATAACTTCGAAAAATTAAGTGCCCAGGCGACCTTTCTTGTCTAAACAAGCTTAAACGTGAAAGTTTTTCATCCAGAGCAGCGTTCTCTCATCTTTTCGTCCAGTTTCGTTTATAATGCGTCCTGCAGCACATGTACGAAAATGGAAGTTTGCTTTTTTTGTGATAACAAGTTGAATTTAGGCAAAGTTGTGGAGGTGAAATCGAAGGGTGTCAAGTCGTTGCTTGCAAACAGTATAACCCGTGGATGTAAGAAGCATGAAGAAATTCTCAAAAATGTTAGTAAAATCAAAATGCATGAATCCTGCCGAAAAATTTGTGGCAACAGCGAAATGGCGGAGGCAGCTCGTCGTAGAAGCGACACACAGCCACACACATAGAAGTAGAATTGCAGCCTGTACAATTTGATTTCGAAAATTGTTGCTTTATTTGCTCAGAAAAATTCGATTTCACAACCACGGAAAAAATTTCGAAAGTAAAGAGGCCACCTGTTAAAGATACCTTTCGCTCTGTACTTCAAGAACGACATAGTAAAAATGTGCAGTGGGACTCTTTAAAACAACGGCTTGATAATGATTAGTCTCAGTTGGAGCTCAATATCATCTGGAATGCACGAAAAATTTGTATTTAAAACGTACTGCAGTTGAAGATAATCACAGTAACAGAAAATAGCGTCGAAAAAATAATGAACGGTCACGCATATGCAAGAGCAATTCGTGGACATTTTCCATGGGCGTAGCCAGTACGAAATTTAGGGGTCCCCTATACATTTCTTTTTTCAAAACCAATAATTATTACTAAAAAATTGTTATTATAGCTTAAAATTATTGTAACCAATAGAGGTATGTTGTACACAAACACATAAATAGAAGTTCCCAAAAGTTGATATAAAACTATTCGTCGATTTAAATAATTAACTTTTTACTGCACATGTTTTTTTTACGGGGAGGGATCATTGAAAGCCTAACCCCGTCAGTGTGAGACTTTAACCCAAACTAAACCTCCGTCATGTACCGTGCAAAAGTTTTCTCAATATTTTCAGAATGGATTGCATTTTAGTGATGGAACGTTAGTGCAGAGTCAGCAGTTTCAGGGATAAAAAAAACTACAAAGTTAATAAAAGATACCGTCAGACTCATTAGTGATAGGACCACGTGAGTCAGCAGTCGATAGAAGCAGTGATCGGACTTAAAAAAATTTCTGTGGTAGAATCTGGAAAAAAATGTGGTAGATTTCAAAATAATGTGGTAGATCTCAGGTTTTGGATCAAACTTTAAAATTAAAAAAATTGTGCAAGGTTTCACATAAATTGCAAAGCTTTTCATTAGAATATAAAAAAAACGAATTTTAGTATGATAAAGTGCAAGATTGAAGTTGCTAAAAATTGCGTTCAGTTTTGGCAATTTTTTCCTTGACATTGTAAAGCAGTTCCTTCCATATCAAGATCTCTGCAACCTTGCGGAGTGCTGCCTGCTTTTCTTTTCATCACATCATGTAGATGTTCCAGAAACCGGTACCGCTTGGGGTTTTCTGATTTTGACAATTCTCAAGTAAAAGTAAACAACGCTTGAGATGCACTGAAATTTGCTAATACTTTCACAAAAATCGCCGTTTTATAACATTTTCGCTATAAATTCTTTTTATAAATCATATATTTTGCAATTTAACACAATAAAACCACGTTTCCTGTCGAAAATTTTAATATTCGGATTATTTACCATTTTACAGTTTATTTCATCTTCCCATTCTGCCTGTTGTTAGTGTTTAGTGTTGAACAATTTTTGCTCTTAAAGTTAAGAAAATTATGCCGAGCAAAAATAAAACTACTCAAAAACGCGAATATGTGGTAGATTTCAGACCTTGTGTGGTAGATGTGGTAGCTGCTCAAAAAAGTGGCAGATCCACCACAATGTGGTAGAAGTCCGATCACAGGATAGAAGTGAGAATGGTAGCTGCTGGTAGCTAATTTTTATAAAAGGTTAGCAGAGTAAATTTTTGTCTTGAACAATTTTTGACGAAAATGCATAATAATCAAAGGCACCCTGAAATTGTGCATATGGAAACTGTGCATACGAAATAATGCATATGAAAAAACCCGAAATAATGCATACGAAAAAAACCGAAATAATGCATATATGCACAGTTTCGGTTGAAAACCGAAATAANAAAAACCGAAATAAAGCATACATGCACAGTTTCGGTTGAAACCGAAATAATGTCTAAATGCACAGTTTCCATATGCGCAATTTCGGTGCCCCTAATCAAATCCAAAAAAAAACAAAAACAAAAAATCCAAGGCTGCAGAATGTTTCCATATGAAATTTAGAGGCAAGACTATGGAACCATGATCTACCTGTCCAATAGAAGCAAACTGCATCAAAAGTTCGCAATTTTTTATTTTTTTTTAAATTCCAATTTTACTGGAATAAATTTGTAAAAATTTAACTAACAGCAGTTACAATTCTGGCTTCTATCGACTGCTGACTCCCGTGGCCCTATCACAAATGAGACTGACTATGTCGTTTATTAACTTTATAGTTTTTAGTATTATTTTGGAGAATTTCAACCTTGAGAAAAGTCTTTGGGGTTTTTTTTTGACAGATATGAAGCAGAGCTATATTTCACTGTCTGACTATTAGTTACCTGCTTTTAATTATATTTACATGTCTTATAAAAATTTTCAGCTTTTGGAAAGTAGTTTAAAGATGAAAGTGCTGACTCTGCACTAACGTTCCATCACGAAAATGCAACCTCTTCTGAAAATATTAGCCTTGACAAAACTCTTGCATATTGTCGACGCCAGCTCTATAACTATATACTCGGTTAGAAGGAAACATGAAGATTCTCAAACACTTCAGTCTGAGCTTGATAAATTTAGCTCTTGTTGTACTCGGAACTATTGTTCTGTTGACTGAAAAAAAATAAAAAATAAGAAATAAAATAAATACAAATTTGTATTACCTGATATGAAAATTCCCCTTAAAATTCGCTGGCTCGAAATTGGTTTAAGACCCACAGTTTCTTAGGCAAAATTGCTCAGGATGATACGTAGAGCATTTTCCGCATATGCAATTTTATGGGGGAAAAATCGGCCCGCCCTAATGTACATTCATATGTAATACATAATATGAAGCGTACGATTTGCCCAAAGCAATAGAAGCCCGCGGTAAAAATTACATATATATGTGCATACGCACATAATTACATACATATGTACATACATACTAATGAACATATGGACAAATCGTCGGTGATACTGTAAAACGTCCTATGCCAATAAATACCTCTGGTGCTTCAATTATCTGCCACCTATACCTGAACGCTTCTAGTAGTCGTTCATCTCCATCAGCCAAAGAGGGACTGTTTTGTCATTAGTTTGTCAGAGTGTAACGATTTGCAGATGGATTCCGCTGCAGGTGAAACATACCATAAGTGCCAAACGTACTAATTGACATAGACCGTTTTGCAGTATCAGCGACAATGTATTACATTCACCATATTTGGTCTAAAAATAAAGATATTTTCTGTTTGAAGGCAAAAACTCTCCGTCTGCTGAATTAGGCGACGGGAATAGGATCTAATCATAAGTCTTTACCAATTGGAATTGTTCCAGATGCACCATTTCTATTATCTTCGTAATCATTTCCACGACTTGAGTAGCGGCGAGATTGTGCGTCACAGTGTCCAATACGAGTATATTGGACCAAAAAAACCAAAACTATTAAATTGTCACTTCTTAACTGCATTTTTTTTTCTAATTATCTAAATGAAATACGATTTATAAAATTTGTGTTATCATTTCGATTTGTTAAGGATGGCAAATATGCGGTGACTGTTTTGTGTGTTCTTCCATAGAGATAGAGGCAGTAAAAACCAATGTGTTGAGTTCCAAAATGTTTTTGGAATATTATTTTTTTTGCATGTATATAAAAATAGAGCTTTCGGATTAAAATGTGCTTGCATTCAATTTTTGTGCTTTCATTTGTACATGTACAGGGTTGCCAGAAAATGTTTAAACTTGTCAAAAGTAGCCAAAATAATCGCCGAAAGTTAACAAAATTGTAAAAGCTTACATAAAATCCTAAATAAATTTTTAAGGTTATGCAAATAAGTCAATTTCTGCAAACAAATAATAAAAAGTCACTTTTTTAAATTGGTACATATGTAGGTTCTAACTTATAGTTTTGTTTTCCATATAAAATTTTCCTTAAATTATTCGAACTTTACAAAAAAAAAAAAAATGCACTTGAAACTTGAAAAATAAACCTCTTGCGCAAACATCGTGTCAATAACGTTTGAAAGTGCAACTTTGGTTTATTGCTGTCTAACGATGTTTTTTATTTAACAAAAACAAAGTGAAGTTTCTATTAGTCTGGAGTATTCCCTCAGAATGGTGACAAAAAAAATGTAAAACCGACCTTACGAAATTGGACTTTCGCACAGCCAAATGAATCATTTGACCTAATGTGTAATCTCAGTTATACGAGGGGGCGTGGCACCTCCCATAAAACAGAATTTTTATACCGCATATCATATCTCAGAAAAAATGTTTGATAGAATACAGGAACCACCTGCCACCTGTTTAAAAAAATCAAATTCGACTTGAATTAAGGGAATTATTTATTTGAAAATTATATTAAGGAATGGATGACAAAAGGCTTAAAAAAGTTGTAGTTTGAAAGTATTTTGGAGAGGGTTGCCACCTGTTTGAAAACCCAAATTTAAATTAATTATTCGAAAGATATTTGAACAATTTTTTAACCTTCAGATTGAAAATTGAAAACATTACTGAGGTGTTTTACATGCGTTGCCACCCGTTTAAAAATAAAATTAGTTTAATTTAAATGAATTACTACAATATGGGTATCAATCGAAAGGTTTTTGATAAGGGTTTTAGTTATAAAACACATGTAGGAGGGTTACCACCTGTTTGAAAAATCAAATTCTTCTTGAATTAAAGGAATTTGATAATTGGAATATGTTTCACAATATGGACGTCAGACAAGAGGGATTTAATAGGGTTTTAGTAAGAAAATAATTCGAAGAGGATTGCAACCTGTTTTAAAAGTCGAGTTTAAATTATAAATATTCAGCTTGAACATGTAGAGCTTTCTGAGGTTTTTGGAGAGGGTTGCCACCTGCTTTAAATATAAATTCAAATAGAGTTTTATTATAAGTTTAATGAGTTATTACAATCTATCTTTTAATCGGAAGAGTCTGGAAAAGGCTTTATTTCTAAGCAACGTAAGTATATCAGGGACTCCACATGTTTGAAAATTCAAATTCAACTTGAATTATAGGAATTAATGGTTTAAAAAATAAAATTCAAAATTGTCAATCATTTCAATGAATTATTACAATACGGGTATCAATTGAAATGATTTTGAAATGGCTTCATTTCTAAACTACATGTACATAAGTATGAAAAAGTAGCACAAGAGACAGGTTTAAGATAGTTTTAGTTTGAAAATATTTTGAAGATATTTAAAAAAATTTAAAGTCTCCTGATTTTCCGAAAATTGAATCGGTAAACGGGTAAAAATCCGCATTTGAGCCAGTTTTCTTTCCATTTTCAGATCCATTTCCACATTTTTTGCTGGCTGGCTAAAATATTAAAGACTATAAACATACTCATACATACATATATAGATTGTTAAAGACGAACTAAATTACATTGCAACAAGTAAGAGCAGCGCTGTCTTCGGCTATGCCGAAGGCTCCATACCTTTCATGAGCATCTGAAAATTTTACGTTAACAGATTACTGCATTTGAAAAAATGTATATATTCACAGCAGACATAGATAGAGGAGATACATATATAAAAAATTCTAGCTAAACAATCAGAGGTATGGAAGATATACCTTATATAGCACCAATCTAAGTGATTTTCACTGCTGTGTGATCGGTACGTAAACCGGTCACAATTTAATGGGTTTAGCTTCCTACATAAAGGAGATACATATATCGCAAAAACTGGTATCTGAACAATCAGTGGTACAAGAGATTAAGATTATACAGCATAGATTTTGACGATTTTCTCAGTAGACTTTGTATTATTATTTAAAAAATAGCTTACGAAATTAGTCGGTTTTAGCTGTCCAAATAAAGGAGTTTTACAGTAAAACCCCATATCTGAACAATCAGTTTTATGGGGGCAATAAACAGGTTATAGTGACCCGATCTTTGTTAATTTTACTGTAAACTTTCTGTTGATAATGAGTGAAAATAGTGCGATATTTCATGTTTCTAGCTGCATAGATGGAGTAGTTATAACAAAAAATCGCATATCTGAACAATCAGTTGTATGGTGGATATAGGTTGTAGTGACTCGATCTTCGCCATTTTCACTGAGAGTATTCTTTTGATAATAAGTGACAACAGTGCAAAATTGCATGTGTCTAGCTACTTAAATGGAGGAGTTATAACGAAAACTCTTATATCTGAACAATCAGTTGTATGAGAGCTATATGTTATAGTGGCCCGATCTTTGTAATTTTCACTCTAAGTTTTCTGTTGATAATGGGTGGAAGTATTGCAAAATTTCATGTTCCTCGCTGCATAAATGGAGAAGTTATAACGAAAAATCTTTTTTCTGAACAATCAGTTGTATGGGAGCTATATGTTATAGTGGTCCGATTCTTCAGGTTCCGACAAATGATTAATACATGATAAAAATACACGCACCTACCAAATTTGATCCGGATATCTCGAAAACTGAGAGACTAGATTGCATACAAACAGACGGACAGACGGACAGACAGACAGACGGACAGACGGACATGGCTAAATCGACTCAGCTCGCCGTTCTGATCATTTAAGTATACATTTTAATGGGTCTATCTCTTCTTATTCTGGTACTTACAAACATCGGACCAAAGTTATAATACCATTTCATGCTCATGAAAGGTATAAAAACTGTTGCTAGTGTTAAGTGGCTCTTGCCTCTAATCCTTGTCTTATTCATTTCCATCCCTTACTATAGTAAGCAGTAAGAATTGCTATAGTAAGTCTAAAAGATTAGACATGGATTCGACAAGGACTAGAGATATGAGCCACTTAACAGTTTAACAGTTTTTTTTTTTGAATTTTGAATTGTGTCGTTATTGCACAGGACCATCGATTTATCTTGTCTTAAATGAGATATGCAAGGATTTTTCATCGTGTAAACATAAATAAAATTACGAGCAGGTACATGTTTAAAAATATGAAAACCGCGTTTTTTGACCTTTGAGTATGCGTAAATGTTATTTTTATTTATTTCACTACAAATCTCATGATATCTTAGATGCCAACGTATGGTTGACCCTGATTAGTCGTTAAGGTATTTATGAACAAATGGTTAAGCCGTGTGAATGAATGTGGACAATACTTGTCACTTCACTGCTGTGAGCAAATGTGTGACAAATCAGCCAAATCGTCTGATCGCAATACGAATCATTTGTACCAGGGTTGTTGCGAATATTCGTATTCTCATTCGCATTCGCAACCGCAGAGCTTCTGCATTAATTTTAACATTCGCATTCGCTATCGCATTCACAGNGTGTGACAAATCAGCCAAATCGTCTGATCGCAATACGAATCATTTGTACCAGGGTTGTTGCGAATATTCGCATTCGCATTCGCATTCGCAACCGCAGAGCTTCTGCATTAATTTTAACATTCGCATTCGCTATCGCATTCACAGTAATCAATGCGGAGCTTTTGCGAATGCGAATGTTGTGCAAGTGCGCCGATAAAACGTATATATCAAACAAAATGACAAATTGTAACCAATATTTTTGCCTGTGGTCGTGGGACTATTTGTGTAACAAAATTGGTCAAATGTCGTATTTATCAACTTTGATGAAAATGTCTTTAAACATATTTTTTCTTAAGCTATATAACCGAGCTATCAATGGGCAGTCATACAAGTTCCGACTTCTACCTGACCTACCTTTGCCGTACGTCAGAGAACATAGTCCATTTAACAATATTTTTTTTCTGTGCTTTAAATACCTGCATTGATTGCTTTCTTTATTATGTTTTTTTTTTTGGACCAATCTTAAAAAAACTACTAAACACAAAAGAAGAAAGTGTGCACTGTAGTTCTTAGCCAAATTTTCGTGATTTGCTTTTGATGTTACATATCGACTGCTGAGTGGAAGATCGACCTATCTCGACAGCCAGTTCGAAAACGCCCTGTCTCAAAAAACTTTTCAAGAACGCCCTATTTCAGAGTTTTATTGAAAAACACCCTATCTCAGAATTCGGTTCAAAACCGCCCTATCTTACTTCAAAATATATTGAAAATGTGCTGACATAGGGCGTTTTTGAAACGAATTCTGAAATAGGGCGTTCTTGAAAAGTTTTTTGAGATAGGGCGTTTTCGTACTGGCTGCCGGGATAGGTCGATCTTCCACTCAGCACTTGATATACTCGTTGCAATTATTTCAAATGGGGCTCTTTGGGGAATTTATTTTTAGCAAAAATTTTAAAACAGTAATTTTGTTTACGTGTCGGGCAATATTTTTTTCATAGGGAAATACATTGGATCCTTGGCTAAAAACTTCTATGGTAAAACTGTCTCTTTGCTATTTAAAGTCAAAGGGTAAGCTCCTTCAATAGGGATTTCCAGTAGAAATGATCAACGTCTGGCTATAAAGAGAATTGATGCTCAAATAATTAAAAAGCTATAGGTCTGACCTTTAATAAGATAAGAATTACGTTACTATCTCAGTCTCAAATACTTATAAAAAAAACGGGTTCTTTTTTTAAATAACAATATTCTGATCCGATTCGGCTGGCAGCCACCACTTTGAAAGCAGAATTTTGTTCAAAATTTTCATTCCTGGAAAATAATAATTTATTTTCCATATCCACCTATTTAGCTCGCTATAAGCACAAATTTTTCAAGCCAGTCGCAGAAGAAAGTATTAAAAATGAATTACAAAAACTGAAATCGAAAAATTCTGAAACAGCCAAAGGAATGAGAATGAAGAATTCTTTTTAAAAAGCTTTAGAAAAACTTGACACATCTGGTTAGGCTTGTAAGCGCTGTTTAGACAACGATCTCGCCATTATGCTAGATTCTAACTGTTTCTTAAAAATTATTGACATCCGCATTCGCATCCGCATTTGCGGATGTTAGCTGTTAAATATTCGCATCCGCATTCGCATCTGCGGATGTCTAATATTCCACATTCGCAACATCCCTAATTTGTACATCGATATCCAAATGTGCAAATGTGGACAAATCTAAATTTGGGATTTTGTGTACAAATGTACAAATCGTGTGATCCCTGCTTTGTGTTTACTTAGCAAGCTTATAAGCTCATCTCAACTTTAGCTAGGTATGAATAAGCGCTCTGTGTGCGCGTCCCCCCATGTCGAAACGAACTTAATGGACATTTTTTTAATATAATGACACAATTAATTTTTAATGCCCGACTTTATCATTTGTCATTTTTGCCATTTAATAGTACATTCTCACTGCACTGCAATCTGAGATTTCGCGAAATCTTTCCAGTAGGATTTCCCCATATTCTTTCATGATTTCGATTTCTTAGATTTCAATCACATTTCAACGAAATCCTATCGAAAATCTTACTTTTGTAAAGCGAACAAACCTTTAGATCAGACCTCTGCTTTAGAAGGCAGCGAAAGCTTCATTCAACCGCACGACTTGTTTGCACGCACACAGTGACATCAATTTCTCTCACACTACAAAAATTCTGTGTCGAAGCTGCCCACCTCTGCTTTAGATACTAAAAAGTTCAACCCTGCAGACTGCTTCACTTCATAATACAAAAAAGAAGGTAGTTTCATTGTGTTTTTCTTTGAAATAAAAGACCGGCAAATATGTTGTCCACCGCAAAAATTAGCTATTATTACATTAGTTTCTTCTAAAGCTAGTCACCGTAAAGGGATTGGATGTGATTTGCAAAGGTAAGGCTTTAATTTCGGTGCTTCATGCTATGATAGATATTATAGTTATGGACGATAGGAGTTACTGCCGGTTGAACTGGCACCCAGAGTTTGGAAGTAAGTAGTTAGAGGGTTGCCCAATGCCTTATGTGCAATTTAGCTGTCACTGCAAACACCTTAGCCCGGAAGACCGAAGCATACCTCCCCAGAGAAAAGTCCAATAGAGAGTCAGTTTTGGAGCCATCATTGAAGATTCGATTATGTGTGAGTCCGGTCTCAGTGATGCAATTAAAGGTTGCGTACTATCCTGTAGCATTGAAAAGACACAAGTGCTCAGATATCTGCCGCTAGCAATTTCCGCCTTGCCCCACTCAGTGTTATACCAGCATCCGTTTCTTTTTAGTCTGCAGGTGGCCTTTAAAGCTTACCCTCGTATGAAGACACAAGGTGACGGTAAGTGCAGCAGTGCATCAAGAGCAGCGCCACGTATTGTAGAGAAATCTTCAGGACAGCACACGACAGTAGTTCTTTGAAGTTTAGCAAGCAGACTTCCCACGCTCTTGGTTGCTCCACTATACCACTGACGCATAGATAATTATGGGTCTGATCAGAGATGTATAAATACAGAGGATTCCCTATGGTGACACACCCCACGTTTTGCCAAAGACCTGCCNGAAATCTTCAGGACAGCACACGACAGTAGTTCTTTGAAGTTTAGCAAGCAAACGCTCTTGATTGCTCCACTATACCACTGACGCATAGATAATTATGGGTCTGATCATAGAGGTATAAATCCAGAGGATTCCCTATGGTGACACACCCCACGTTTTGCCAAAGACCTGCCTACATTGCCAAAATGCTGCCAATTCTTTGGAGGTTTTGTGTTCCACGTTAGATTTACACGACAGTTTTGTATCCTGAATTACTTCTGAATACTTCACTTCGGGAGAATTCTGAATTGTGACTCGTTTAATTGTGAGGCAATGAGCCCATACAACCTTCTCCGAAGCCTGTTTCGGACTGTGCTTTAATGACGAAATATCTATCAGTACATCTTCTTCAGACTATTAAAGAAAAGAGTTTTGTTTTGTAAATTTATTTATTTTGTTTAAAATAAAATGAAAAAAAAACTTTTTAATAAATAAATGTTTGAAAACTGGATTTTATTTTATTACTTCATTTCTGCATANAAAAAAAAAACTTTTTAATAAATAAATGTTTGAAAACTGGATTTTATTTTATTACTTCATTTCTGCATATCGATATTATTCAAAGGATCTTTAATACGCTTGAGAAAAACGTTCAAATTTGATTATCGGACACACGAACTTGCTATTTTTTGTATTTATATTTTACTCTTTTATTAAATCCCAAATTTTAAAAGAAAATTTCCCCCTCAAAAAATTTCGATATCAAAAATCTGAAACCCGCTTAAGTACCCTCCCGCTTAAGTACCTAGCCCGCTTAGGTTCCCAACATTTTTCGGCACCGTGGATTTTTTAAAGTATTCTGAAGAAAATCGCTCTTTTAAGTACCATTTACCATTTTACTTATAATTTTCCCCTTTTAAGTGCTTTTTTTAAATTTCTTCAAACATTTTCATAATTTGAAATTCAGTGTCAGCGCTACACACCTTCGGCGAAAAATTCTAAAAAATTAATGGTAATTCTTAACCACTTGAAACTTGCGCATTATTACACTAGAATTGAATGGGCTATAGAACAGCATCCTCATAAAAATATTTAACACTTCTGAAAAACAAGTTTGAAATTTTGATGAAATTTTAAGTTTCTATGATATTTATTAGGGAATGAATTTTGTTTAATTGAAAAATTTTAAAAATTAAAAAATTAACATAAGTGGCAAACAATCTCGCTTTGAATTTGGTTCAAAATGATATGCCCTGTTTGTGTATATGTATAAATATATATAATCAATGGCTTTTTGATTTAGTTCTGGTGAAAATGACATAACATTGCTTTATCTGTTTTTTTTTAACAAAGGTTTCCTTTATATGTTTACTTGTTTAAATAATGCTACGATCTTGGTTTTAAATTATAGTATACTTCATTAAATGTTCATGTTTTATTCAAGGACTTATTTATGTAAGTTAACAAGAAGATGTAACTACATCACAAATTATGTCCGCTTAAGTACCCGCATCGAGGTACTCAAGTGGGTNTGTTCATGTTTTATTCAAGGACTTATTTATGTAAGTTAACAAGAAGATGTTATTACATCACAAATTATGTCCGCTTAAGTACCCGCATCGAGGTACTCAAGTGGGCTCTTTTAAGTGCCCAACCCGCCTAAGTACCGCAAAAAGCTGACATTTTTCGTGTGGTACTTTTCTTTTTACCTTCCTTTTATTAGCTCGGGTTGTAACTATGTAATATTGATGCGTCTAAAAGATGCAGCGATTTCTATTCTTAAGTTACATACCTGATGACAGTACGAATGGCAATTATAATAGGGAGGTTTTAGTTTTTTAAAATATAATTTTATTTGTATCATGCCTCACTTGAAATATCGAAATTCTCTACATAAACAAAAGCACACAGACACAAAAACATATTAGCAAATGTCAACGAAATCAAGAGAAATGCGATGGATATCTCAGATTTCAGTGCAGTGGGAATGAAATAAAAAAATGAAAAATAAAAAAGCAAATGCACGAAGCAAGTACATTCAACCACCTACATTATTTGCTTTCTTTTGTTTTATTTTTTCGCATTTTCTTCATTTTATCTTAGTTAAATTGTTTAGATTATAATCTTATTGAAAAAGAAAGCATGATAATAATTGAAGAAACTATAGAAAAAACTCGATAAAAACTTTTTTGGCCGTGGGATTCAAGCCCTCCACTTCGCGGCCAGCGAAATCCGCGAAACTACCTTCGGTTAGGGTAGAAACAACTGCGCCGTTTATCCAGATTAGCATATTATCTAGCTATGATATTAAACTCTTATACGAAGTGAACATACGAATGCATTTTTATGAATCATCCATCACTGTCTAAATTATCTTCAAATTCTGAGTCCGTTTCTATTGAATCAATTGAAACAAGCGAATTTCGGCTACGGGAATATACCGACTGTGGAGTCTTGAGCAAGCGTTCATTATTTGAAAAGTCTACTGCAATCCGGCATTCTTCCCAAAAGGCGGCGATAAAAGGTGCCTAGTAGGGTAAAAGCAAAATGAACGCTTTAAAGGTAATTTCGGATTAATAGACGGCTTTATTCACATATGTACCTCATAGTAGCTGGCTTTTCGCGCCACATGTATGCACCACATTATTACACCATACACAAGAGAAATACCACTTCCAACTCCCAGCACCAGATATACACCGCCCAAATTGCTTAAGTCTAAAGCTTCGACTTCACCACTATTGGATTTTTTCTATAAAAATTTAAAAAAGATACATATTTATATTTTTTTTTTTATTACAGTGTACGCTTACATTACAAACTCCAGCTCCCACTTCGTTCCACCATTTGTTCTTTAAGCGCGATAAGACACCTTGCTCTTGAAGTTCCAGCAATGCGTTGTTAAATTTGTCGCGATAGGGCCAGTCTGTAAAAACAGTATGCTGAAATTAATTTTGAATACCACCCTGAATAATGCAAACATTGTAAAGGTACCGGTGCCTTAATTCACAAAGGTCCTAACCAAAAATTTTTTTATTTCACAGGAGCAGCAAGAAAATATTCTGCCTTATCCTGAGTTTCGCCTTAAGAAAAGTTCATCCGAAAATCTGTCATCCGTCCGTAGTAAAACCATGGAAACCAAGAGTGAAAAGTGAACCGGTTCGGGGAAAATGAAGGCTGATTATAAAAAGAGTATCAAACAAGTAAAAGAGTATAAGTTCGAGCGAAACCGAACTTTATATACCCGGCGCAGGTATCAAATATCTCAGACCTACCTTTGCATGATAAGCAGGTGTGTTTTTCCCCGATTTCAAACGTTTCTATAATATACAGAGTTAGACTTAATGATATAATTGAACCCAGTTAGGTACAAATCGATTAAGTGATTACCGAGGTACACCTTTGTAGTTATAAAGTGGGCGGTGCTACGCCCGATTCCTAAAAGTCTATTGCAGTTATTTGTTGTTGGAAGAATGTTGTAACTATTAACTTGGAGTAAATTAGCGTCCTCAGTTATTGAAATATCGAAGTTTTTGGGATTTCTGAAATTTACCCCTTATACGGGTGTAATTTTAGTCCGATTTGAACAATTTTCAACAAATCGCTTTTCCATACCAAGGATATTAAGTGCACCGAGTTTGGTAGAAATTGATAAATCGGTTACCGAGATACACATTTGTGGTCATAAGGGGGCGGCGCCATGCCCATTATCCAAAAATGTATATTAATATAATTTTCTGCTAAGTGGTCATTGTAGTTATCGATTTTGTGTCACATAGCTTCAGTAGTTACTGATTTAAAGCAGTTTTTGTGTTTCTGTAAATTACCGTTATATGGCAGGTGGGCGTGGTTATTGCCCGATTTCAAAGATTGTCAACAGATTTCTTAGCTAGACCCTACCCAAACTTCGTACCGAGTTTGGTAAGGATTGGTGAAGCGGCTACTGAGATACGGCATTTCATCATAAGTGGGCGGAGTCACGCCCATTTTCCAAAAATTTCATAATAATATTATTTTTTACCACAGTTCTAATACAAATACTAATTTTCAACAATTTGCATCTAATATTTACTGAAATATCACAGTTTTTGCATGGCGTGGTAACAATCCGACTTCGCCCATTTTCAATACCAACCTACCTTGGATAAAGGGCAACCTACATATCAAATTTTGTTAAGATATCTCAATTTTGCTCGAGCTATCGTGTACGCGGACAGACGGACGGACGGACAGACATACATCGCTTAATCGACTTCTCTATTTATTCTGATCATTTATGTATACATTTGTACATATCTATCTCTATTCGTTTTCGCTGTTACAAATAACCGTTATGCGAACAAAGTTAATATACAAGTGCGCTCGGGTATAAAAAAGGCAAGCCTTTTTAAAAAGTGACATGTTTTTGGTACTACCACTTTAAAATTTTTACTGTAGGTGTATTTTAAAACATCCTACCAAAATCTGTGAACGAAAAGTTTGCCAACCGTACTATAATATATAGTATTGCACTGCTTTTTGGGTCTGCGTACTATATATACTGTTGGAAAAAAATATAGTATGTATGCAAAAATATTATATTTCTTCGATTATAAATATATTTCAGTCATTTGTAAGAAAGAAACGTTTTAAAATGGATGAAATTTATACTGAAATATCAATATTAAAATAAATATACTTTAAAACAAAAATGGCAACATTTTTAAAAAATACTTAGAAAGATTTACCAAATTTACTTAAAATTATTTCGCTTATGCTCCCTATTCCTGCAACTTCGGCATTCACAGAAAGAGTTTTTTCTATTATGATTTTGAAATGGTGAGATGAGAGAAATAAAGCGAATATCTCACTAATAAAAAATTAACTTCTGATTTATATTACTTTAAATATTAACAGCGATAAAGCATATGATACTTTCAAAGAAATATATTTTTTTATAGGGAAAATGCATAAGAAAGCAAAAAGATGTACACTTAAAAAGCATTTTTACTTTTTCTTAAAAAAAAAATACTAAATAAATATATTTGAAGTGTACTATATTTTTTCAGATTTTTTCGAAAAAGTACTATAAATTTCTTAGAAAATGTTGGCAACCCTAGTTAGGGCCTTTGTGAAATAAGGTAAGGTGTGTCAAAATTCATACAACTTTTTTACATTTTCATGCGTTGTTATGTATGTACATAGGTGCTGCCATAAAAATTTGTATATTAAATTTTTCTGTAAAACGCACGCATTGTATACGCATGCTATGGAGATCCGCCTTCAGGCGTACAACTTACTTTTTACCATGGCGATTCCGTATCCCTTTTCGTCGAGTGGTTCTCCAATTTTCATCAAATTACACTCTCGTACAATATTGTATTCAATGGATGTGGATTCCATTAGAAAAGCATACGTGGTACTAGATTTAACACGTTCTACTCCTTCTTGATTGGTCTTGAAAAGTAGGTGCGGATTTTTGATCATAAATTCATTCATTTTCTTATACACTTCATGATCGGAGGTCTGAAAAACGATATTTTAGAAAGTAATAATATATGTAAATTTAATACAGTGCTCGACCGGTTGAAATTTGATATGATGCCAGAGGTGTCTGACTGAGAGAGCGTCGGTTTTGAGATGGCGTTAAAAAATGTCTTGAAATCAAATTACTTTTCTAATAAATACTAGTTCACCTGATAATCAGTATATGTATTCTAATGGCTTTATTCATAAAAAATAAAGTAGGTGTAAGAGCTTTACAAAGTGACGTTTTCATAAATTTTTAACCCTTTCAAACTTGATCCCGTTTGTTATATACATATGTATGTACGTACCTTGGTTTGATCAAAATGCACATGCAATTATTTTTAATACATACCGCAAAGAAATTTCTCGTAGAACCAGTCAGTTTAGCACCATACTCAACGCCGCCCTTATTTTCCGCCAAATCCTCGACATTATCAATAAGTCCAACAGGATTTTCGATGGTAAGGAAAGCAGCCAAGTTAGCCGTGTACGAGGAGAGTATAATGAGCGTGAAGAACCACCAAATGGACGCGAGAGTGCGTGTGGAGAGCGATCTTTATTATATGAAAATATATACATATTAAAAAAAAGGGCAAATAAATGTGACAACTATAACTATACTTAGGTGCTATCTCAGAACCTTGCTGTAAAAAAGCGCCTGTCGTAAACCAAAATGAATTATTTAGCGTAAATTGGTTCTCTAATTCTTCAGGCTCTTCAATACATGGATATGGATTATCCCACTCTGTTGGAGATAGGCGTCCTAATATGAAAAAGCAAAAGGATACACCAATGTATACCAGTCCCAAGTAGATCCAAACTTCCCCGGAGAAAGGATCCATGAATGAAAAAAGTTCTGGTGGTGCTTTTTGAGGTTTAATATACAAAATCGCGATACCTAAATATGAAGATATATTAATGAAAGTATTTTGCTCAGTTTTTACCAATGCGCGGTTGAGAAAAACTTATTCATTCAACACTCACCCAAATTCATGAAAGGTATTGAAAAGTCAATAATTTCTTCACGCTCCGATGTTATTGTCAAGTCAGTGATAGCTAACTCTGCTCGCTGAACAAAATAAGAAAGGAAAAATAAATGACACGTACTTACACACATTCTTATGTATATCTGTTTCCACTAGGGCTGGCACTATCCGCATGTTTTGATATCCGATTATCTGTTCGGATATTGGCGTATACGGATAAAATCCGAATATCCGGATATTATAAACCGTGTTTGAAGGGATTCGTGAAATTTTTTATCAAAATTACTGAAACTATTGTTGTAGAATATACAAATCGTCGTTGTTTGCAAAAATATATGTACATATCGTCGCGGTTTCGTAAAACCGCCCATCGACAAGTAGCAAAACCGCCTAAATCGGCGTTGCGACCAAAATGACATTTCACAGTTGTCTTCAAGCACGAATAGGATTTTCGAAAACGTACCAACTTTCTGATAATGCAAATTTGTTGGAAATTGTCTTCAAGTCCGAAAAACGTAGCAGATCCTTTTTTCCGAAATAAACGTATATATAAGTAAATGTATATAATAAGGAGAACATAATTTGTATGAAGGCAAAAAAAATCGACTTTTTAATTAGGATACCATTTAAACACGTGATGTTGGTTGCAGAATTATGAAATATAAAATTTGAGCCCCATTGTAGGTCATTTAGAAATTACGCGTTTAACCCAAATTTTTAGATGACCCAAAAATCGTTTTTCACAAATTTTAATAGTATTAAATAAGGCAACAAAAATGGAAACAAATGCTAAAGCTGTTTTCGATAAATTTGTTTGAGCTAATTATGAACTATTAGATATTCCATCATCTGCATATTTTAAGAAAAAACGTGGCCTATATATATACATATATATCCATACATATATGCATAAGGATATAAATGTTGTCACTTACTACCTCGTGGTGTTTAGGCTGGCAGTGCGTTATTACTTTTAGCTTTATTTCGTTTTTAGTTCCGAGAATCTTCTATTTTGTAGCCAAACGTCCGTATTTGGAGGTTCATTTTGTGTGTGTTTATTGTTATTTTTTTTTTCGTTTGGAAGGTGGTCCCATTCGCAAATAAATGTTTACATTTTGCGCCCCGCAAATCATCTTAACAAAATGAACATCGTTAATGCATGTTCCCTCAATGAAAATAGACAAAAGCTTGGCGGCCTTGTGGAAAAAAATTGCCTTTGGCAAAACGAACTCAAAGAAATTCTTGATTAGCTTCAAATTTTAATTTGTATGACGAGCGGTTTCCTCTAAGCATTTGTGGCACCTGCTATACGAGCTCGCTCGAAGCAGAAAAAAAACATTTTCAAAAGGCCGTTTCAATCTATGCCAAATTACTAGGAACTACTTTTACCGAAACTTACACGTTCAATTACAAATGAATGTAAGCAGAATGAAGCAGAAAAAAAACATTTTCAAAAGGCCGTTTCAATCTATGCCAAATTACTAGGAACTACTTTTACCGAAACTTACACGTTCAATTACAAATGAATGTAATTGTTACATTTGCTTGACAGGTAGGCGCAAGGGCCATGTAAAAATTATAAAAGGTAAGGGTAAAAAGCGGAATTTTAATAATAAAATCGGTAAACTCAAAAGTCCTTACCATCCATTAAAAGCAACTGAACTCCTTAATAAAAATACCGATAGCCGCCTTCAAAGCTATGGACTAGAGCTGTCAAACTATCGACGATACTATCGACAGTATCGATAGTCTGGTCACATGAAATAAATATCGATAGTTTCAGTATTATCGCCACTATCGTTTTATTGATAGCGCTTTTGACATTTGCACGTATTGGTTAAAAAAAAAAAAAAAAACTTGGCAGCACTATTTCATGAACGAACGAATAAAGATCACCCAGGACGGAGTGCGAGAAA